AGCAGGAGTACCCCAGTGGCCCGGAGATCTTAGAGATGAGCGACCCCTCGGTGGAGGAGGAGCAGGCCCTCAAGGCCGCCCAGGAGCAGGCCCTGGCGGCTGCGGAGGAGGAAGAGGAGGACGAGGAGGAAGATGAAGATGAGGACCTAGAAGACTGACACCCTCCAGCCCCTTCCCCAAGCAGGTAGATAGCAGTTTTCCCCTTATATGTATAGTTATGGATTGTGGTTGTTTCCTGCCCCTAGAGGGTAAGGGTACAGACAAAAGCAACAGCTCCAAATAAAATTTCCCTGTGGTATTGTGGCCGAATCATTCATTCATTTGTTCACCATGAGCTCTGAGCCAGGGCTGCTGGGCTCTGCTGCGGCAGGCACTGACGTTGCTGGGAGGTTCCCCCACCTGCTTCATTTATTCATTTGGCTAGCCATCAAACAATGACTGAAGTGCCTCCTGTCATCCTAGCCCTGTGCTGAGGACAGGGAGGTGACCAAGTAGCCCCGGCCCTGCCTTCTCAGGGCTCATATGCCGTGGGAGAGATAGACTCATCCCCAGACATTGACAGCCCAGATGGGAGAGCCAAGAGGACAGACAGCTCCTGGGCTGACATTTTTTTAAATTTGTTTTTGAGAGTTTTTTGCCTTAGGGTGCATGCACTCCCTGGGGGGAGAGAAACAGACACAGTGAGAGGGTAAGTGAGAAATCACCACTCCCTGGCTGCAATCCCTTCTCCATTCTCCTCCTAGGATCTTGGGCCCACACTTACACATGCTCAGTGTGAGTTTCAAGCTGCCCAGTCCGGGACTCGAACCATGGTTGGCCATGTGGGAGTCCAGTGAAATAGCCACTACACCATCTGCTGGCCCCTGGGCTAAGTCCTAAAGGATCACAAAAAGAATGGTGAAAGGCACTCAGAGCACAGGGACCAGCATGCGCACAGACCCAAGGGCACAAGAGCGTTTGATGCGTTGAGGGAGTCGGTCAAACCACATTTTAGGAGCATATGTTTACCAGCTGAGTGGCGAGAAATGAAACTGCAAAGAGAGATGGCAGGCCAGATCACGTGAGACTAAGTTTTCCCTGAGAGTATTAGGAACCATAGGTGGGTTTTGAGCAAGGGCAAGGCCCTGGTCATATTTGTGCTCTAGAAAGACCCCTCTAGGGTCACCAGTGGCGTGGCGGTGAAGGTAGCCAGATCCCCCATGGCTGACTGTGCGGTTTGAGTCTCAGACCCGGCAGCTTGAAAAACATACTGGGTGCATGTGCATGTGTGCGTGTGCCCCAAATCCTGATTAGAGAAACGGAGGTCTCACTTTCCTGTTCTCTCCCTGTCTCTCTCTTTTTCCCTAGAAAAAAGAAACAAAAATTATAAAGAACTCTCTAGATGCCAAGTGGAAGGTAGCAAAAGGGCTGTGACAGGAGTCTGGGAGACAGACGAGGGACAAGGCAGATACAGGGGACTGGGGTAGGAGGAGGCCCCGAACCAGGGCTGCCTAGAGGAAGAGACTGGAAGGATCAATTCAGGTGGAAATCGGTAGTGGCTCAGAGTAAGTTCCTGGAATTTTGAGACACTGGGGTCATAAAGGGGGCTGGGAGATCTTTAAGAGTGGAGAGGGGGGCCAGCAGGTAGCATGGTGGTTGAGGCACTGGACTCACACGTGGCTAATCACAGTTCAAGCCCCAGATCGGCAGCTTGAAACTCATGCCAGGCGCGTGTGCGTGGGTGCCCAAAATCCCAAGAGGAGAGTGGAGGAGAAGGGATTGTGGCATGGCCATCCCTCCGAGGGGTGATATATCACTTTCTGTCTCTCCACCTCTCCAGCAAGTGCATGCACCCTATAGCAAAACTGTATTTAAAATGATAATAATAAATCAAATTAAATAAAATATTTATTTAATTTTATGGATTCATTCATTCATTTTAATTTGATCAGACACACACACACACACACACACACACAGAGGGAAAGTGAGAAAGAAAGCCACCAGGTCCTGGATTCAAACCATAGTTGGCCCTGTGAATGTCCAGCACCTTAACCACCACGCCACCTGCTGGCCCCTAAAAAAAATTATTATTATTTTTTTAAGAGGTTTTTGCTATAGGGTGAGTGCCCATGCCAGACAGACAGAGAGAGACTACATGGGAGTCCAGCGACATAGCCATTACGCTAACTGCTGGTCCCGCCATCATTTTGGTTTTCAATAATTATTTTATTGGGACCAGCAGTTAGCATAATGGCTATGTCGCTGGACTCCCATGTAGTTGACCACGGTTCGAGTCCCGGACCCGGTGGCTTAAAACTCACGCCCGGCGCGTGTGCGTGCGTGCCCAAGATCCCAAGAAGAGAATGGAGGAGAAGGGATTGCGGTGTGGCCATCCCCCCTGAGGGGTGATTTCTTGCTTTCTGTCTCTGTCTCTGGCGAGCGCCTGCGCCCTATAGCAAAAATCTCTCAAAAAAACCCCAAACAAACAAACACACAAAAACGACGGCAATGGGAAACGCTGGAAGTCAGGAGAGTGTACACTGAGAGTCCAGGAAGGCACTAGGGTCACCTGGAATCAGCTGTGACTTTACGAGAAGGCCGGGATATGGACGCGGCCTCTCCTACGGGTCCCTCCGTTGCTAGGCAAACGGTTCCCGGGGCGTCGTTGCTAGGGACTTAAGCATTCTAACGGACCACACCCCTTTCACTACAGCCCCCCACCCCCGCAGCCAACCACAAGGTAGTCACGAGCACGAAGGCCGCGCCCACCTTTTTGCCACGCCCACAGCCCCAGAACCGTTACCCTAGCGACCGACGAGGTTCGTCCCGCCT